TCAGATTTCTATTTCAACTTTTCCCTTCCTTTCTTCCCTGTTCACACCTTCATTCCTCTCTCAGCTCTGTTGACTCTTTAGACTTTCTTCTCCAACATGCCCCAGCATACTTGTCATCCAGGAAGAAAGTATTTTCAAGAGAAAAGTTGGAATGATGAATGGAAAGTGAATAAGATTCTACCACACAACAATGTAAGGTATAACAATGATAAAAGGAAATCCAAAGAAGGAGAGAATTTCAGAATGTGAAACAAACTTGGAAAGTTGTGCTTTTCAAAGTTGACTTACTCTCATTTTCCCCCTTTCCTTATTCTCTGCAGAAGCTTAATTGAGAACAGCAGGCCCAGCGTCATTATCTTTAAGTGGAATGATGAACCCAAACTTCAAGAAAAAGCAAAAGTCCATTATGGAAAGGAACTTCTCCAATCTGTTTTTGAGTCCTATCATTTCTCCTTATGCAGTATTTTTCTTCTATGTCTTCTTTTCTCCACTCTTACAGTCACCACTCTGGTGCAAATCTTCATTACCTCCCACCTAGACTGAAGCAATCACCTTCTGGCTGGTCTCCCCAGTTCTAATCTCTCTCCACTCTAGTCCATCCTACACTCACTTGCTGAAGTGATTTATCTTAAGTGAAGAACAGATCACATCACCACAGACCTCCCTCCTCCAACACCTTCCACCCTTCCACACCCTCACATATACTCAATAAACTCCAGAGGCTAATCCTATTACTTTTGTAATCAAATACAAACTCTTCTATTTGGTTTTTAAAGTCCTTCACAACCAGTTTCTTTCCTACTTTTCCAATCTTCTTACACTTTATTACCCTCCACAGAATTTACGATCCAGTGACACCAACCTGCTTATTGCTTTCTGAACATTCCATCTCCTGATTATATGCTTTAATGGTTGTACTCCATGCCCATAATGCTATCTACTTCATCACCTCTACCTCCATACTGTCTCCACTAGAAAGTGAGCTCCCTGAAGGCATTAGCTCAGTGCCTGACACATAGTGTTTAATATATGCTTACTGACTATGTGGACTATGACTTCTGGAGATCCCTAAGTGTAATGGGTCTAAGAACATAGTTGAACTCAGGTCTTCCTGAACCTAGGCCCAACACTATCCACTGCATCACCTAAGCCTAAGCCATTAAAGTCACACAGGTACTAAGAGGCAGAGGCAAGAGTTGAACCCAGGTTCTCTGACTCTAAATCAAGTGCTTTTCACGTTGTTCCAAGTTGCCTTTGCCTGCAGCAGGGATGTAGGCCACTACTAGAAGCTTATAAATAGGAGAAATGTCTCTCATACCTTGGGGCACCAGTAACCAGCACGGATTACTAGCAGTCTCCTTCAGCATTTGTGAGAACCCAAAGGGAGGCTATTTCTGCTGCTGCTGGGAGTACTAGTGAGGCTTAAGTTGTGATCCTGAGCATGATTATGTACCACACTCAAGTTTTATATAATGCTTTTGGTAAAATGCAAGGTGAGCTCTGTACTTGAAATTTGGTGATAATGGCAATCTTATCTCCAGTATATTTCCTGCAAGCACTCAGAATTTTTTTTGGGGGGTGGGGTGGGGGGTAGTGTTTCTCCTTCTACATCAGTACAGACTCAGGAAATTCAACATTTTTTGTAAGCTTATTTATTCTGAGGCACTGTGAAAGACACTAAGATGACTATTACAGTCTTTGCCCTCAAAGTGCCTCTAGCAATGGTTCCTAACTATTCTGATTGGAAATCCATGAAAACAGAATTTGAAGGCAATGTGCTAGGGATACGAAGAAAATACAGGGCATTGCCCCAAAAGTCTTAATGAAGATTTAGATCTTAATGCAGATTTACGCTATGAAAGATTAAAAGCTTTAAGTTACTGAAGCTTAAAACTGAACTAAGACTTTTGGGACACCCTGTATATAACTCAAAGATTACTTCTAAAAAGCTTACAATCTACTAGTTCCAGCTCATACAATAGGCCAGTGGTTCTCAAAGTGTGGTCTAGGACTGGAGTCTCTAAAACCAATTCCAAAAAAACTAAGTTCACCAACGTATGAGGTCAAAACTATTTTCATAATAATATTGACATTTTATTTTCTGATATGGCAAATATAGATATAACCAATGTAAACAAAAGCTCTTAGGGAGGAGTTCTCAATATTTTTTAAAACTATAAAGAGAGACACAACATGGCAGCGGTGCCGGACAAACTGGCAGGGTTGAGGCAGGTGGCCTCGATGATGTGCCTGGGCACTAGGTGGTCGCTCCTGGGAGCTCTCGGCTCCAACTCGACTGTACCACAAGAAGGTGGTTGGCCGTTACAAGAATCCTAGAAATGTAAGATCCTTTGACAAGAAATCCAAAAAACGCTGGCACTGGATTGGTGGGAATGTTATGAAATTACAGATCCAAGTGGATGAAAAAGGGAAGCTCTTGTTCCCCAATAAAAGAGCCAAGTGATAATCACGCACAATGTCCTATTCTCATAGAAATTTTAATTCTAATCTAATCCATCTTCAGAAGTGCCCAGCTTCTGTTCTCTGTCTTTGGGCTTATTGCTGCATACGTCCCTCCCCTCAAGGCCTGCTGTAGCTGGAGACTGTGAATTTTGTGAGCTGTGTCTTTTCCCAAGAAGGACTCAAAAGATGGAAGTCCAGAATGACTTTCTTTGGAAGGGGCGACTCTCATTTAGCATTTAACTGCACCTGAGCTGGGTCTGGGGGAAAGAGTCATTGTTACAGATTACCTTGGCAGAAATGTTTGAGAGAAGCATTATCGTACATAAAACAGATCTTCTATGTATGTATATATACACATACTCACACATATGATATAATAAAACGGCAAGAACTCGTCTGTCCTCAAACAAACAAAAATACTATAAAGAGATCCTGAGACTAAAAAGTTTCAGAACCCCTGCTATAGGCTATTTGAGGGCAAAAACTGTTATCTTCATCTTTGTATCTTCCACAGTGCTTCACTATAAATAAGCAACATTCAAATGTGCAGACTGAAGTGAATGAATTTGCTGAATGCTAAGGCCTCACATAGGATAGCTCTAGGTTTTTTCCTTTTCTTTGTTGCTTTTTTCCCCTTTCTATTTTAATCTAATTCACCACTTCCACCCTAATTCCAAGGCTAGAAGGTACCTTAACAGATTCCTAAGTCAATACTCCCATCTGTCCTAAGGAGCACATTTATTCTGCCAGTGTATTTGCATCTTCATAGTAGTTTTCAGGTGTTTTTAAATGACAAAATCACAGAATTTCAGAGCTGGAAGAAACCATTGAAGCCATTTAGTCTAACCAAGACCTATACAGAAATCCCTCTCTACAATAGCCCCAATAAGGGATTTATCTGAAGAATCATAATGAGAGGGAATCTACTACTTCCCTACACAGCCAATTCTACTTTCTTTACATGAAAACTTACATTAGTATTGTCATTCTTCAAATGGAGACTTTGAGACGTGACTGATAGAGTTTTTATTTGATCAACACTGATATATATGTATTTTCAAAACAAAGGGTTTAACCAGTCAGGAATGGCAGGAATTAACTGAAGAGGATGATTAAAGTGAAGGTTCCCTACTTCATGACATTATTTGGGAGCACAACCAGTAAGCACTAAATAGATTATAAATGTATTATATTATAGTTATACATTTATATAGTATAATACATAAATGTGAGTTAATTATAAACACAAATTTATTATAAATACAAGAATGTAAATTTATATTAAATATAGGATTTTACAACATAAATATGGGCAGCTAGGTGGCATAGAAAGACATCTTCAGGAGTTCAAATCTGGCTTCAGACATTAGCTGTGTGACCCTGGGCAAGTCACTGAAGCCTGTTCTCCTCAGTTTCCTCCTCTGTTAAATGAGTTGAAGAAGGAAATGGCAAACCACTCCAGTATCTTTGCCAAGAAAACCTCAAATGGGGTCATGAAGAATAAATTTAACAAACATAATAAATATAATAATACATTAAATATAGTTTTAAATACACAATACATACAGGATTACAAAGGAAACCATTTATATTGAAATACAGTTACCAAAACATATTTTTCCAATGTTCAGAAAGCACTGCTTTGTTTAGAAATAACCAGGTGGTGCAGTAGAGAGAGCTGGACCTAGGGTCTGGAAGACACTAGTTAGACTCTTAAAGCCGTGACCCTGGACAAGTGATTTAATCTGTCGGCTGCAGTTTCCTCAAAATACAGATAATAATACTAATAATAATACTAATACTAATACCTGCCCCCCGGGGTGGTCGAGAATGTCAAAGGAGATATTTGTAAGGCACTCCGCAAACCTTACTGACAACCTCTCCCTGCTCTAAGTACAGGCCCGCTGCCAAGCTGCATCTGAGCAGAGAATTGGCACACGAAGGGCTCCCCATACCCACGCAAGGCAGGTGTAGGCCAAAGGAGGAAAAAAGGAGCAAGCCTGAAAGGCCCCTCCAAGAGGCTCCCACGGATGCCCCGGCAGGGCGGGCTGGCTGCGCGGAACCTGTCACTAGCACAGCGCAGGGACCGCAGGGAGCACTAAGCCCCCAAAGGGCACGGACTCCGGGAAAGGGACGGCCGCGTCGTCCGGAAAGGGGGCCTCGAGGAGGGCCCCCGAGCGCCTGGGAGTGACCTTGGAAGCCGAACGCCCCCTCCGCAGGGGAGGAAAGGTGCTCGGCCGGGTCGCGGGCTTTCGGGACGCGCCCCTCCAGCGCCACACCCTCGGACGGACGCCCGGAATACTAATGAGGGCAGAAAACCACCAAGAGCGGCCTTGACAGGCCGGCCCCAGGCCTCACCACAGCCGGGGGCGGGATGGGCACCCGGGTCATTCCTAACCCTAATTTCGCGCCTCAGGAGGCTCCAACGGTTCAGGCCGAGCCGCCCAGCCTCGGGGGGGCCCTTCCCGTCAGGCCCCGCGGCCGCGGCGGCGGCAGCGGGGGAGGGGGGCAACCTGGAGACCGAAGGAGCGCGTTACCTGCTGGAGGTGCAGCTGGGCCGCGAGCGCCCGCGGCAGGTGGAGGAAGCAGTCGCGGGCGTGGGAGAAGGCGACGGTGACGGCCGCGACCCCTCCAGCCCCGGAGCCCTCGAGGCGGCCACTGCCCCACATCGCTAGCGAGCGAGCGAGCGAGGGAGCGAGCGAGCCAGAGACTGACGGGGCCGAGCGCCGATGGGCGCCAGGCAGGAGGCGTCGAGCGCCGAGAGGATCGATTGACAACAGCTACCCGGGCAGGCTCGTCTCCCGAGCGTCGCGAGGGGGCGGGACCACCGAGCCTCGTTATCGCGCCGCCAGAAGACGGTGCCTTCTCTCTCTCTCCCTCCCCTCCGCATGCGTCAACTAGCGTCATCGGCACTCGAGCCAATCCCAGGACGTTGCTGCCTGCCGCGCTCTTTGATTGGATGAGAGGGATTGCGACCAAGCGGAAACAGCTGACTTGGAAGGAGGACCGAGTCGGAAAGGATGGCGGACGGCGGAGGGCAGCTGGGTGGCTATTACCCTCACCATGCGCAACGGGCTGTTTGTGACTCGCGGGCCAAGTATCGGGAGGGGCGCAGGCCCCGCGCCGTTAAGGTGAGAGCGAAGCCGGGCGGCTTAGACGCGCCCCCTCGGGCACCCAGCTTTCTCCCGGCCAAGAGCGCCCTGAAAGGCTTAGGTAGTGGCTCGATGGGCAGACAGCGGGGCTGCTGTGTTCGGCTGCGGTGCCCGGGGTGTGAAAGAGGAAGCCGGCCCGGAGGAGTCTGCCCCGGCCGCACTCGCCAGCCGGGAGTCGAGCTCAGAGATTCCGCCCCAGCGAACCTCCCTAACTTGGTGGGTTCGCTCATCCTCGCAGCCCGGAGAGGGGAGGGCAGGCGTCAGCGCTGTTATGCCCGCTTTGTGGGTGAGGAAATTGAGTCCCAGAGAACTCCAGAGGGATTGTTCACAAGGTACCACTGCTAGGAAGTGGCCTTGTCGGGATTCGAAGCCAGGTTACAAACACCCCCCCTTCGAGAATGACAATTTCAGAGTTGGACGGGACCTCGCCGGCCAACGGTCCAGCCTCTCCAGGAAGGAATCCCCACTATAACACACCCAACTGGTGGCCATCTGCCTTTTTCCTGAAAACCCCCATCTACCTCGGGCAAGCCGCTCCAGTTGTTAGGAAGTATCAAGCCTAATTTTGCAACTCCCACCCATTGATTCTGCTTCCCCCCCCCCCCCCCGTGGGCCAAACAGAACAAATCTAACCCTTTTATATGACAGCTCCTTAAATACTTGAACAGAGCTGTCTGGTCAGTCACTAAACATTTACATTAAGCCTACTATGTGCCAGGCACTGTGCTCAGCACTGAGGATACAAGGAAAGGTAAAAAGAATAGTCCCTGTTTTAAGGAAGTTCAGTTTATTGGCAGTGAAAACATACAAACAAATGTGTACAATCCTACTGGATAAATTGGAGGTATCTCAGAGGGAAGACACTAGAATTAAGGATCAAGAAAGGCTTCCCGTAGAAAGTGAGATTTAGCCGAGACTTGAAGTTAGGAGGCACAGATGAGAAGGGAGAACATTATTAGTTTTTTTCTTCTCAGCACCATTTTTCTTCTTTCTTTCTTACTTTTTTTTTTAAAGGCAATTGGGGTTAAGTGACTTGCCTAGGGTCACACAGGTAGTAAGTGACAAGTGTTTGGTCTGAGGTTGGATTTGAACTCAGGTCTTCCTGACTTCAGGGCCAGTGTTCTATCCACTGCGCCACCTAGCTGCCCCTCAGCACCATTTTTCAATGATGCTCAGATCCTCTCACTGCTTTCTAAAGGAAAGCAAACACAGTCCAAGGAGATGTGTGAAGAACAGGTGTGTAAAGATAAACTCTTTGGAGATACTTCCCCTTCTACTATGCCAAAAGATCCAAAGTCCATTAGTATGTTGAAAATCTCAGATTGCTAGAAACAAAGCAGACCTATCATTGATTGGGGAATAGGCAAACAAATTGTGTTGCATAAATGTAATGGACTGTTACTACGCTGTAAAACATGAATGACTACAGAGAGGCATGGGAAGATGTGAACAGAGGCAGAGTGAAGTAAGCAGAACTGGGAAGACATACCGATTGACTCCAACATTAATAAATGGAAAGAACATCCTATAAACTAAATACTAGAAATTATAATAACTGAGCTTAGCCCCAAAAAAGAGAGACCATACCCTTCTTTGCAGAGGGGATGTAGAACACTACATATAGTGTCCTGCTTTTTCAATGTGATGGTTAGGTTTACTAAACTCTTCTTGTTCTGTATCATATGAGATGCTCCCAAAGAGGAAAAAGAACAAGGGATATGTTGGAAAATGTAGGTGTTATAAAAGCAAAATATATCAATAAAGTTTTGTTTTGGAGAAAACCTACAGATTGTATTTATTCATGTTTTAGATTTACATAGTGCTTTCTTCTCAAGGGCTCAAATTGAACTATGGATTCAGCCTTTTAAATGAAGGAAATTATCTTGAGCCTAGTATAACATGGGTAATTGAAATTCACAGATAACTCACAATCCCTATTGTAATCCTGCAGTCTCAAGACAAGCGTTTGCAGGTTTATTCCTGTTAAACCAGACGTTCTTTTTTTTTTTTGGTTTTTTTTTTGTTTTAGGCAACTGGGGTTAAGTGACTTGCCCAGGGTCACACAGCTAGTAAGTGAAAACCAGAAGTTCTTAAACATTTTTGTGTAATGGGCCCTTTAAGCAATCAGGTGAAGCCTTTGGAGCCCTCCCTCCTTTTTTTTTTTTTTTTTTTTTTGGCTAGGCAGTGGGGTTAAGTGACTTGTCCAGGGTCACACAGCTAGTGAGTGTTAGGTGTCTGAGACTGGATTTGAACTCAGGTCCTCCTGGCTCGAGGGCTAGTGCTGTATCCACTGCACCACCTAGCTGCCCCCTGGAGCCCTTTTCAGAATAATATTTTTGTTGCCTACATTCATGATCAAAGGAAATGCTAAATTTCAATTACAAGTTAGTGGGAAAAAAAATAAAGATGCAAGTTTTTTTCCCACCCAAGTTCACAAACCACCAAAACCTATTTCGGGAAGTCATAGGCTAAGAACCTTTGTGTTAAACGAATAGAGTGGAGCCTGCTTTTGTTATAAGACCTTCTGCTGTAACAGAAGAACATCACACTGGAAAGCAGGGTGTCTGAGCTTACTCTGTCTTAGGAGAGTCGTTATCCTAGCTATGTGAGGCAAGACCTTTGTTGGGTCTCAGTTTCCTCTTCTGTGAGGTGAAGCAGTTGACTGATCAAAAGACTGACAATAATAAGAATTTTATCTTATCTCATTTGATTTTAAATAGCCTGCTTAGATTTGTGCCAGATGAGTACTAAAGCATCATGATTATATATGTTAATGCTTGTTTGTTCTTACATACATCACAGGGTCAGTGAGTTAAGTACATTTTAAAACACTTTGTAGAAGAGATTTGTTATTCAGTGGTTGTTCAAAGCATAGTAATTGGTAAATTACTTTCAAGGCTGGACTCTGGCCTTGTTAGACATTATTGTGAGAATTTTAGGTACCACATGACAAAGATAAATTGAACTGTGTCCAAAGGAATGTGAGTGGGATAGTGAAGGAACTGTACCTTATGTCATGTAAGGATTGACTGAAGAAACCAAAGCCTGAAAAACAGAAGATTGAGAGGGGGAGGGGGAGGGGCAGGAGCAATACGGTAGCTGTTTTCTGCTGCTTCAAGGCCTGCTGCAATTTAGAGGAGGAATTTTGCTGACCCCAAAGGGCAGAACTAGGAACAAAGGGTAGAAGTAAGAGTGAGGCAGATCTTAGTTCCATGTAAGGAGAATTTTCCTTACAGCCATGTCCTAAAGTGAAATGATTTGCCTCAGAAAAGTAAGTGAGTTCCCCATAACTATAGGTCTTTAAAAGTGATTGGCAGATCATGCATCAGAGGTGCCATTGAGGAGATTCCTACTTTGGTATGGGTTGAACCAGATGGCCCCTGAGTTCCCTTCTAACTCAGAGATTCTGTGATAAATATAAGGGCAGAGCTATTTAAGAAAACAGGAAAAACATGAATATATCTGTATTTCCTTTAGGTTTATACAGTCAATTTGGAATCTCGGTACTTAATCATTCAAGGAGTTCCTGCAGTGGGAGTTATGAAGGAGCTGATCGAACAGTTTGCGTTATTTGGTGCTATTGAACAGTATAATGCTCTAGATGAGTATCCAGCAGAAGAATTTACAGAAGTGTATCTAATTAAATTCCAAAAGTTACAAAGTGCAAGGTAATGTGGATGCCCGTCAGCGTTCTTTCTCATTATTACCACCCTAGCCCAAGACTTAGCTTTATTCACACCTAGATTACACCAAAATCCTCTGCTTGTAGGTCCAGTTTAAGATTTGTTTCCTCCACAAAGCTCTCCCCTGTTTCAACCCACAGTAAGCTTTCTCTTCTGATTCCCAGTAGCACTGAGAATCTTTCTCACACATTCTAAAACTTTATGCTACCTTGTATAATCTACTTATTTCATATACATACTTTGCCTCAACACTTAGCACAGTGCCTGGCACAAAGTAGATACTTAATATTCATTGATTGATTGTCCAGATATATTGTAAGCTTCTTGAGATCTGGAGCTCGTTTTTCTACTACTTGTTCATCCCCCACAGTGATGGGTAAAGGGAAGGTGCTTAATAATTTTTTAAGATATCCTTCCCATTTTCTTAATGTATTTTTATATATTATATTTTCCAGTTATTAATAATTTTAAAAGTTAGCTCTTCCTTAAAACATAGAATCTTCATCCTGTTATTTGAGGACCTGGAAGTCCCATCTACTTCTGGTCTTACTCATATTACCCCTCTCTATCATAGGATCATAAATTTAGAGTTGGAAGGCAGCTCAGAAGCTACCTGACCAGGTTCTATAATTTTAAGAATAGGAAATTATATCTCTGAGAGATTAAGAGATTTGTACAAGGATACAGAGGTAGCTAGGTGGTGCAATGGATAAAGTGCTGGCCTTGGAGTCAGGAGGACCGAAGTTCAAATATGACCTCAGACACTCACTAGCTATGTGACCCTGGGCAAGCCACTTACCCTGTTAGCGTCAGTTTCCTCATCTGTAAAATAAG